ATCATGAGTATTGTGAACTGAACACTCATCGCAGTAGTTAGGGTAGTATTTACAATCGTAACAGTTCTTACTACAATCATGAATATTGTGAACTGAACACGCTTTGCAGTAGTAATTGTTTCGACACCAACGACATTCACTACAATCATGAGTATTCGAAGTTTTAGACGCCATCTTGAGTTTATCAGTAATTATGGCAGTGTTTTATTTAAAAAACAATGATTTATCGTTGTTTATATGTGTGAAAGTCGTCGTTCACTTCCATTTTGTTTGAAAAATGACACAGGAATACTACGTACGCCCAACAACATGCATTAACATTAAACGATGAGAGGCAGAACGCATAAAAAAGAAGGCTCTTATAACTTCTATTGTTGTGTAAACACATGTAACAAAATACATGTTACGTGTACTCTTTAATGAATTTACTAATTCCACCCCAAGTTCTGATTGGTTGAGGATATTAAAGGTTAATTTTAGCGTTAGGTTAGTGTTAAGGTTAGAGTCAAAGATAAGATTATATGTAAAATTTCCTCGCCGACATTCTTGATTAGTGCTTCAAGCCAGATTTAAGAATTCGTTTTCCGTTAATTTTCTTGCGTCAGATTTGTTGATCAAAAATTTATGGATTTTTATTGGTTAATCTAGAAGACCCAATGTGTAGTCAACCAATCAGCAATGGAAATTATTTGCGTCCAATCAGAACTTTGGGATGAAATTAGTAAATACGTTGTAGGCGTAGTATCGATATGTCATTAGTGATAAGAATAGTAATTACATGTATATTATCGTTATTACCATTTATTTATTTTATGATAGTGTTTTATTTAAAAAAAAACGATGATTTATATTGATGTGTGGATCGATTTATTCAAAAAGTGACATGTTGTATCGGTATCCAAATTCTTGGTGTAACTTGCGGCGAACCAATCAGAATTTCGAAATTATTTATTTACCGTTTTTTCCACGGCCTATGTTGATAATTCATTTTTCTATCATTGTTTTTATTTGGATTGCTGATAGAGCTAACTAAAAAAAAAAACAAATATTCCCAAGAGTCGGTAAACTCCGTCCGGCTTTGGTGGTTAGCAATGATCTGAATACGACAGCCATATTATTGTGGCTCCTCCTTTGTCCGAGAAAATTTGGCACGGAAATTTGTATTACTAATTAATAATTCTTCTAGTTCAGTAAGTTCCTTAAAGCAACTTAAGTCTTGCTTGCTAAAATCATTATTAGAAAGATTTCTTAACAACTTAAATCCACAAAAAATAACCAGTTTAACAATTAATAACAACAATTTTTCAGAACAAAAAGTAAATCAAGTCTTTAAGTTGATCTGCTTTCTTGAATAGGATCATACTTCGTCATAGATGTCTGATACAAGTTAATTCACCTGGGCAACCTCGTAAGTAATCATCCCAAAACTGTAAATATCTGCAGCTTTAGTGTATGGCACCTCTGGTAAATTTTTCGATCAGAATTTTCTATATCTGCTGGTTTACTAAGTCAAAAATCAGCAATTGAAGGATTACCGAACATTAATATGTTTCCAGGGTGAAAGTCACGATGCACAAATTCCTCGTTGTGAATTAGATTCAACCTCTCAATGATATCACTTAAATTTCTTAAGTTTTGTTCCAAGCCATTCCTGCACTTTAGAGCAGTCTGAATCATATTGAAAAACAAAAAAGCAATAACTCGAGTGTAATTTGCTTTGAATTGTATAATGATTTCAACACAACTTCTTTGTCTTTTCCATCTCGTTTAAATTTATTTTCTCCATGATCCCACCCATTGTAATAGTACAACGTTGCTTTATATCCTTTTGCAAGATCTTCAACATTGGTAAAAATCTTTTCAAAAAGGGATACATTCAAAGACACCGTCATCAGCAAGTCTTTTATTAGACAGTCGATATCTTCATTTTCGCTAGACCATTCAACATAAATTCGTTTGCGATATAGAGAACATCCTTGGCAGCACTGACAGCGAGTACATTTACTACAATCATTGAACAATCATCGCAGTACTTATACTCGTCACAGTAGTCATTTCGACAACGTTATCGTTTTATTTTAAAAAACGGTCGTTCCGTTTGTGTTTGCAATTGTTGTGTGTAAATAACAAAATGTATTTTTTTAATCCAGTATAGTAAATGCATGGTGTAAGTTAATCATTAACATAAATTGAAGTTCTATGGCATTGTCGATATCCTCCTTGGGCATATATGCATGATACTGAAAAATTTGAGAACTTTCTTTGGTAGGTCGTCAATTATGTATTTTTATTGGTATAACGATAAGCTTTCAAAACAAAATTTATTTAGAACTGCGGAGGTTTGATAATTGTAGGCCAATTTGATAGCACCTTACGCATTTTTCATTCATTCATTTTTTGTGGTGTGAACTGGTGTATTAAATTGAAGATTCCATTCACTTTAGCAATTGTTTTCCACATCATTCTCACATTGGGTTTCTGTTTAACTGCTACAATTCTTGAATGGACACCAACTTCGCGAAGATCTGGGTGGATCTTTTTTATGACATCATCTTTGTAGATTTATTTGACAATGGTGGTGGTGGTTACAGTGATTTAAGCTATTGACAAAAAAAAGGTACATGTAAATTGAAATTGACATGATACGTGATCCGAAATAAATTTCAATGTTCAGAATTAAAAATCAAGTTAGCTAGATTACGAAAAAAGCGTCAATATAAAATTCATTCTTGGCAGACATACGATAGGAAAAATTATCTTTTAAAAATAGATTAAACTAAAACCCAAAAATCTTTTCCTGAATAGCTTCCGAAATATGTTCACCTAAAACCCAATTCATAAAAGCCAAAAATTTCGAATCCATTCCCACATAATAAGTAGTTTTCGGGAATCGGGAAGTCAAAGCATGTATAATTGCATCGGTGACAATTCCTGGAGGATTAGCAGCATCGACCACTTCATCGAAAAGTTTTCCAACAATTGTGAACTGTTCTTCGTAAGTCTCCAGTGTTTTCGGATTAACATTTTCTTCATGATATGGAGAACTGATCGAGAACCCTTTAAATTCTTGGAAATCCCGATGAACTTTTTGTGTATATTGGGTATCAATTATCCCTATAATAAAATCATAATTATCAAGCAGTTAGATAGCATACATGCGCGTGTATGATAATAACTTTAAATTACCTGGCTCTATTAACATCATGTTTATTCCTAATGATCTAACTTCTTGTCGCCAAGTACGAGTAAGAGCTTTTAATGCCGCTTTAGAAGCAGCATAGATAGCCATTGACGAAGTTGAACATAAAGATGAAATGCTTCCAACGTTTATAACTCTTCCTCGACTTTCTTTCAAAAGCGGCAAAAATAATTTAGTTAAATGAATTACGCCAAAAAGATTCGTCTCGAAACAATCACGAATTGCCAGATCTGATGCGACTTCAAGCGGCAAATATATTATCGTTGTCGCGGCATTAATCAAACCCGCGAATGGCATATTTCGAATATCATGACGGATAGTATGATATGTTTTTTGCATAGCTTTCCGGTCTGTCATGTCCAATACGATACAACGAAGTGTTCCATTGTTTTCATTTTTATTATGGTCTCTGAATTGTTGAAGTAACGAATCAAAGTCTGAAGATTTATTTACTGCTGCAAATACAGTATATCCTTTTCTCGCCAAAGTTATTGCTACATCTCTTCCTACTCCTACTGACGCTCCCGTTATTAATACGGCAGGATGAAATGTAGGTGTGGCATTGTGCACTAGACTTGGTTCCGGATTACCGAAAAAATTTTTTAGCATCAATGATATTAAATAGTTTATCCCATAACTAATATAATCGATCACTAATGTAAAATGAACATAAACTTCTTTAGCTAAATTTTTTAAAGTGATTTCTTCTTCTGACACTTCGTGAGTATGCTGTTGACTTGATGTTGGGATCCTATTATGTGGCATTTTCTTCTAAATGATCGAAATAAGAGAAAGACGAAAGATGAGGAGGAGACTATACAGTTCTGTACCATAAATATTTATATATACCACCACCACATTGCCAATCTTGGACACTTTCTCTCATTGGATATATATATACTTTGTGCTATTCAAATTTAGTCAAGGTTATTTTACGGATGCATGTAACCTGATGTACTTTAATGTTTCGTATGACTTGAATGGCGCGCACAATTACTAATATTAATACACAATGCATGATGTATATACAGTATATCAATATCGATATACACCGATATATGCATTAATATCGGCATCTAACATCATCATTTAGAAATGGCGGGAAGAAAATCGTATCCATTAATACAATAAAGACGTCAATTTAAGTCCAAACGATGTGAACACACGAGAATATTCGCTAAACCCCATTTTTGTTTTATTTCTTCAATTCAACAACTTGCTAATCTAAGTTGAAACGTGTAAATATACAAAACGCCGCCGATTATCATGCATGCAATTGTACATGTATTTATTAACATCGAAATAGATAAATTTCCGATGGCAGTGCATTTGAAAAAAATCTGCCGTCAAATTATCCATCAGTTCGCATAAGCCGCGTAATGAAAGTTGATAAGATTCTTTCATTGTGTTAAAGCGAGTCTTCTATCCTTGATATTTTTACATGAATTCAGAGAAGTATTCGTATGAAGTCAAAAAATGTTTAATCAAGATAAATTTTAAATGTAATCTGTAAACACTAATATGAAAACGCCTCTGATTTTTAACTTAAAATTTAATTCGAAACTCCGATCTTTATAAAATAAACAAATTAATTATATGTAAAATGTCAGTTTGGATTGTACAGTCAACTCTCTCTATACCGAACTGAACGGTTCTAATAGTAAAAAATTTTCAAATGTTCGTTATAGAGCAAATTACTATGTTTTTTATAACGAACTTATAATAAATTTTTACAAAAAATGTTCGTTATTCGTTATAAAAAGGTTCGTTATATCCAGAGTTGACTGTATTAACGTTAAAAGACTAATCATTTGTGATTCGCAGAATCCTGTTCTCAACGTTAGCGTTAAGAGCAAACGACGCCCATTGTGTATCTTGACAATATATATCTTTATGAATTTAATATTATAACAATTTTCGAATTCCTGCGTGTCTGTTTAAATGCTACATGTATCTAACAAATTTCGATCATGATTCCTTGTACACTCTACTCTCGCTATAACGGCTGGAAAAATTAATCCGTTTGAAATTGATTGATTGTTTAACATCCTTCCACCCACTTCAAGAAACATAAAAAAGCAGGATTAAATATCACGTGTAAATTTATATTCAATTGAAATTTAGCATTTTAAGTCAGGATGGTGATTTTATGCGATCTTCTCGTTATTTAAGGTTTCTTAAAAAGGAGGCAAAATATCATTTATGTTTTTCAACAACTTTGGTTTCCAAACCTACAATATTATTTCCATTTGTAATAGTTCTTCGAGAAAGTAAAACATCAAGTCTGATAATATCTGGCTAGCTTTCGTAAACGATATGATGTTGCTAGTATTGTGGTGAATCAGAACTTGAAGAGATTTCAAAGAAATGTCCTGCTTGGAAACATGGCACAAACGGGGACCAATTAAGGTTAACGTTAATTCTAATAAAAGAAAGAGAAATGTGGATGCATTGATTTGTATTACATAAAAGATTATAACTTTATTAACTCGTCATTTGTTCTTATAACGATAAGTACTGTATAGAAATTCAAATATTACCAATTAATCTATAACTAATAAAATTGCAGTGTTTATTTTTCATGTTTGTTTTTTGTTCCTGTCCCACCTTGATTTTTTCAAAAAAAAGCACGAATATCGCTATTATGTTATAACAGATTTATTAGAATAACAATCCGGTATAATTGAATTTGATCATATTATCACACGTGGTTGCTTTGATCAATAACTACATGTATCCTATACATGATTAAAAATGTTTCAATGAATAATTTCTTTGGTCTATGGTGCATAAATCTAAAGTCATCAAACATATGTATTTTTATAAAATGGATTGACTTCTTTATTAAGAAGTAAATACAAAATTTAATCCGTGAATATGCTCAGAAAAGGCCTATTGTATTTACTTCTTAGTAAAGAAGTTTATACATTTTATAAAATACAAACGTTTGATGACTTTAGGTTTATGCACCCTAATACGTAATCCGCTTATACATTTAATAACTATCGTATTCTCTGCAAATAGTACCACCGGGTTTTTTGCTTAAAAAATGATTAGCACCCTGGGTACGTTGTATGGGAGAGAGTTAGTGTTGTTGTTATGGAGCACTCCAGAACATATTAAAACATATAACACACTCCTGAGTGATTCTGAAGTGTGTTATAAAATTAGGCGTTTGAAAATCGTTACATTTCGGATCTTCAGTATTTGTACGACATCAATTAATAACGATAGCGATAGTACCAGTGAAGACGAAAAAAAGGCAGATCATGTGATTCCGATCCCGATATCCCCTTGAAATTATGCACCAATCAAATCGCAAGATCAATGTGCGACACAAAAATTCAACAAAACAAATGTATATATTTAAAATTTTGCATATGAAACTATTTTTGTCCTTTAATAAAAAATGTTCCTTGCGAAATTTTACTACATATTAGACCCATGTTTGCTATACAATAACCTTGACTCTAAACCTAACCCTAACCCTAACCGAAATTCTATTTAATATAATTTAAGGGGGATATCGGACGGTCGGTATCTGAATCGGAATCACATGATCTGTCTCCACTTTGTTACTACAATTTATCCAATTACGTATTGTGTTTGTTCACGTGATTATATCGCTCGCATGATATTACAAGTAACTCGCAGTTTGTATTTTTTTAGCAAATTTTAAATATAATTTTTAATATATTATTTTAATATATATTTTTTGTTTAATTCTAATAGAAAAAACTATTTTTATATAAAATTTTTCTTATAATAATATTTAATTAAATATTTTGTCAGCTATTTATTTATCTTTAATTCTTTTTAATATTAAGATAATAATATTATAAGTTTGTTCATTAATTATTAAATTAGTCTACAAACTTGAATCCAAGTTAGAAGAGAGTAATAGATTAATAAAAATATTAAGAAAAAAAGAAAGGGTATCTAAGTCCTATGTCAATTTCTACAGAAATTGTGTTTACTAAAAGAATAATAATATGGAAGAGTTATAGAAGAGTAAAGATTAAAGAAAAAAGAGAGTATAGAAGAATAATAAAGAAATAGTAAAAGAGGTTTAAAAAAAATTAATTTTCTATACTTGCATAAAGCTTTCTAGAGCTAAGATAATATAATTAGTAATAATAATAACAAAAACTCTTTTATTTTGTTCTTTTCACAAATAAGAAATATTCATTAACAATTAAAAATTCAAATAACAAAATAATAATAAAATAATAAAAAAAATAATAAATAATAAACTAAATAATGAAAAATGATAAATAATGAAAAGTGATAAAAATGATTAATTAAAGAAAAATAATAAAAAATAATGAAAAATTGATAAAAAATAATGAAAAGTGATAAAAAATGATGAAAAATAATAAATAATAATAATAATGAATAATTAAATTGATGAAAATAATGAAAAATAATAAAAAGAGATAAAATATAATAAAAAGTAATAAAAAATAATAATAATCAATAATGAAAAGTGATAAAAAATGATAAAAAATAATGAAAAATAATAAAAGTGATGAAAAATAAGGATAAAATAAATATCTAATAAATTATTTTTGTTATTTCTTAGAGTTTACTATTTTTAGAAATTTTTAATATTTTTGATTATTTTTAGAATTCAGAATTTTCTTTGAATTTATGAAATTACTATTATTACTGTAATAATAATTTATTTAAAAATAAAAATATTAAATTTTTCTCATTTTTTCTTTAATATGATTTTAAATTCATTTAGTTCTCAAAAAAATTTTATAATTTTAAATATTACTTTTCTATATCTTTCAAATATTTTGATTGAATTCAGTTTTCAAATTTATTTTATATTATTCTATTAAAAAATTATATAATTTCCAAATTATATTTTGAAATAACAATTTATTTGTTTTTTAAAATTTTAAGATATATATTCATATTTATTTTTTATTATTTTTAAATTTTTTATAAAATATTTCATATTATAAATTTTTAACTACAATTAAATCTCTTTATAATTATCATTCTTAAGAAGGCAAAATTTGGTGACTATAGAGAGAATGTAACTATAAAAAAATTTTTTTACTATATTTATATGTAAATAGGAAAGCAAAATAGAGTAACTATAAAAAGATGTGACTATAAATAAGTGTGACTATAGAGAAATTTGACTATATTTTACAAATAGATATTAAATAATTATTGCTATATTTCTCTTTTAAATATTACTTAATATATATATTTTAAAATAAAAATTTTTTTGCTATAATATGTAAATAAATTTTAGAGTTATATAATATATTTGTAATAGTTAACAAATTATAATTAAGATTTAAATTATTTACAATTTTGCAAAGTGATTACTTTTTAGTTACTTTATATCTAAATAAATATTTTTTATAATTGCTAAAAGCTGATAATTTTCTGAAATATGTAAATTTTTATTTTTTTGTATTATTAATAAAATAATATATTAGTTTAGAATTATATTAAAATATTTTTGCAATTTGTATAATATTTTTAGTTTTTATTTATATCAGAATTTTCCTTTTGATAATATATAAATAATTATTTTTTAATATAATAATATTATGATATTGATAATATAATAAATAAATAAATAAATATGAAAATAGAAGCAAAAATAAAAATTAAATAAAAAAATATAATAATTTAAAATAAAAATAATATAATTATTAAAAAATAATAAAACTTATTAAAATTGTTTAATAAAATAAAATAATAATTAAACTTATTAAGACTATTAATAAAAAAAATTATATAAATATAATTTATTAATATAATTTAAAAATAATAAAGTTAATAACTTATTTAAAATAAAAATATATTTACTACTTATAACCAAAATTTTACAATAATAATATATTTACAAATATATTATTATAAGTAAAAACTTTATTATTTTTATTAGATTAAAATATAAGAGTTTCTAATAATAAGAGATTTTTCTTTTATATATTTTTAATAATTAGTTTAAATTATATTATTATTTATAGTTAATACTAAATAATATTAAAGAAAGACAAAAAACTAATAAATAAATAAAATATTATATATAATAATAAAAATAAAAATACAAAAAAAATTTACAAGAATATTAATAATAGAAACAAGAAATATTAAGATTACAATAAAAAGAAAAATCTAAAAAAAATAATTAATTATAAGAAAAATTAATGAAAAAAATAAAATAAATATAAATATAATTAAATAAAATAGAAATTAAAAATATTTTTGTTAGTAATAATATATAAAATATATTAATAACAAAATTATTAATTTTTAAATATAAAAGTGCTAATAAAGTAAAAAATATATAAAAATATGATAATTATTTGATTTTTTGATCAAAAAGAGAATAATATCATAAAATTTATACTAAATATAGTTATAAAATAATATACAAAATAAAAATAAAAGAAAAAATTAATAAATTATTATTGAATTAAAATATATTATATCATAATTTATAATAATTTATAATAATTCAAAAATTATAAAATTATTAAATTTTTATTAAAAATAATATTATTTTCTCTTAAAAAAATTTACATTTCAAATATTTTTTATAACTTTTAAAATTTAGAATTTACAAATTTTTTAATTTGAAATAGAGTAATATTAATATTTTATTATAATCTTTGAAGTTTAATTTTAATAAATATTTATCAAAAATACTTAGCAATTAAGATAAATATTGAATATATAAGTTTTATATTTTTTTCAAGTTATATTCTTAAATATCTTTGTTATAAAGAAAAGTTTAATTTTATAAATTACTATGAAAAATCTTTATAATAATCAAAAAAACTTTTTAATTATAACTAATTTAATTTAGCTCTTACTCTTATAAAAAAATCTCTTAATTAATTAATTATTATAATAAATATAATAATTTGGTATCTTTATTTGTCACAAAATAAACTTTTTTTTTTTAGCAAAATACTAAAGAAAATATAATAATACATATTTTAACAATTATAATATTTGGTATAAATTAATAATAATTATTATAATATAGTTTACTCCCTTTAATATCAACATCATGAAACCAGTCTATTTGATTAATATATATAGAGTAGATTTTATAGAATGTTAGGGTTAGAGTTAGAGTGAAGTGAAGTTTATATCATATATAATAATTTGCATAATATATAATACTGTATATTGTACAGTATTCTCAAAAAGTATTACCTGATTTTTTTATAAATTTTTTATCATTAATTAATACATTACCCATACTTTATATAGCTTCAATATTATCTTGATTTCTTATAAATTTTGCTTACATTTTATCTCAAACTAATACATTAAATTTTAAGTATTCTTTCTTTAAAGCATGTTTATAATTTTTACTTTGGCAGCCACTGTATGCATTAATACTTGCAAGTTTCATCTATAAAGTGTATGACATCTTCATTCTCGTTAATCTCTTCTAAATCTGTTTTGTTTTAGAGTAGTCCGAATCTATTTTTGAAAAGCTTAATTGTATTTTTACCTCGTTTTGAATCACGTAATGATTTCAACAAACAACTCGGTATTTTAAATTTATTGTCTACATGTTCCACTTGTAACAGTGCTTTATAAATTGTTCCAAGACCTCTTTTTCCAAACATTCAACATTGGCAAATTTTTCAAACGGGATCCATTTGAAATGCTGCATTCTTTTACTAGACAGTCGATATCGATATCCTTATTTTCGCTAGGCCATTTAGTTTCATAAGTGGATAGTGAAAATCCATGGCAGCGATCGTTTTTTTTTTTACGAGTGCATGTACTACAATCATATCTCATTAATTTACGTTTTGAATCATCAAAGAAAAAATAATAAATGAATTAAAGAAATTAATAAAAAAAGAATAATGAATATCATGCATATAAATCATTATTTTTCTCAATGAACGCACACTATCGCTATTGAGTGTTAAAAATTCATATTGTATTCCTTTTATCATCACTAGGATTAAAATATTTACTTTCCGTAAAATAGATCCCTTTAAGTTTACTTATAATAATATCTAAAAAAATTCTGAAGCCTCTGAAGGGGAAATTACGAATGCATATAACGTTACAAGTTTGCTACCCGTTTATCCATCTATTTGAGGGAACATTTGGTATACTATTTGCTAACTTATGCTTTTCGCATTCTCTCGAAAGGTGTTTCAAGCTTACTTTTTGTGACATGCCTAATACCCCATTTTAGAAATTATTTATTGGTGTTGACTAACTTATGCTTTTTTTGTTTGTCCAGACTTAAATAGATCAAAGAAGCGGCAAAACATGAAAGCAAGCTTGTGCAAACCTTTTGCTTTTTTTACTGTATATGTTTAATTAACTTGCAGCATGATACTTGTTTCAGGCAGAGGAACTCGATCGATCAGAGCGATTCGAGCAAGATCGCAGATGCTTTCGACAGAGGAACCTTTGTGAACGCACACAATTATTTTTGGAGAAATTGAACACGCATCACAACCAGTACATAAAAAACAATGACTATTCACTATACATCGCCCTTGTGTAAAGTTCGGGGTATCGGTATGTCTTATAGCAGAAACGTCGCATCACGATTTTGTGATCTACATGTGCTTTCGCAAGAGTGCAAATAGCGGCTATCCCAAAAGCACCGCATATTCGAAAGATTTCGTGGATATGATAATGGTGTGTGACAAGCCCTCTGAATGGTTCGATGCATTTTTCGCAGTCGTGTTACAACATGCAAAGACCACTATTATTAAAGAAAATCAGATGCCAAGAGCCTTTTGGAAAAAACAAATGAATGCTGAGTGGAACCGAGACTTTTGGGATGAAGTGAATTCTCAGCTGCAGAAAAGTTGAATTAAGAAACGAATCAAATCCTCCGAAGCGCTGATTTAAAATTTAAAAAGATTTACATACCAGAAACACAACGAACGAGGGCATAAAAGTTGTACTATGTTTGGATGAGGCCCGAATTTTCGTTGAAAGAACACACAAGCGCAGACGAACTTGGCTCAAAGAACACCCCAAAACATTCGATTACGTAGATTTTTCTGCGTTATGCTGGATACGCTGGCTACAATATCGAATTTCACACCACCAAAACCCTTGATCTTTCATTTCTGGCAGTGAAAACTCCTCTTGAACTCCTCGAACCTTTTATCAATGTCACAACTTTAGACGTGCTTAAGAAAAACGCTATTGTACAGCCTGAAGATCGATTCTATTATAACCGATCCTTATTTCCAGCTCTCCTTAATAAGGCTATCCTCATTCCAATGTAATGCGTCTTGCCCAGGCAAAACTCTGCGGAGGCGAAAATGTAAAAGAAAAGGTACATTAGCCGTCCTATCGTCATTGGTATCAGTTGACATTTGTCCACAGTCACATCTTTCACATCTGCTCGTTGGGTAGTTATATGGCAACATGTTTCGAAAGATCGAGAGAAACTTCTTGTTGCTTACCCTTCCGAGCCTATATTATCCGAGGTGGCGTTTCAAATAATTAAGGATAATGATATGCTGGAAAGCTTTTGCTAAGAATCTCAAAAATGGCTTAGATGATGAGGAACACGGGGGAACTTGTTGCTAGGATTGTGCTGGCATGCATGTGTAGATGACAAGCACACTGACACAAAACAATACACAATTACAATCAAGCTAGAAACTTTTTGGAGGCATTGAAGAAATTAGCACAATAGGTAACGACATTGGTGGCAATCTATGCTTTACACATTTTATCTGTTTGAAGGACACTCCAAATGTGGAAACCTTGAAACGTCTTTACGATTGTGGTGCAGCTGGTATCAAGAAACGGAACCATCCTGGCTGCGATCTCTTGTTGTCGGTGAAGCTTTCGAACGGTGATTTCACATACATTGTTATTCAAGTGAAAAACAAAATATGAAATTCATAGACAGTAAATTCAAAGACGACATTTCTTGGTGGTTATCAACGAAGAATATCTTCAAGAAGACAAATCTTGCAGACACACAACTTCCAAGGATTGTTCTTTACTAGCAATTGGGCGCCACTGATCCACGTACGTGATTCCCAGAGCAAACAAAAAAAATGGATTGCTGTATTGTACATGTAGTTTGCAATATCAGAGGATTCAACTTTCTGAAATCTATCCAACGAAGAATTATAAAAGCCCTAGATGCCCATATGGAGGGGAGATTCACGAAAAGAAAAATAGCGACTTTTCCCCTTTGGATATAGCATTTTGGGAAATAGTTCATATAATCTCAATTAGCTTCTATCCAATAATATTTGATGGATTTGAAGATAACGATAAAATAATTGCTTCCAAAACATGTATCGAGAGTGTGCTATATATATAACAACAATAGTAAATATCAATTGTTTTGTAGCGGTAATTGTACTCGTTATTCAAAACGAGAATCACGATAAATGTTTAAATATCAACAATTTATAAAGCTAAATTACCTTGTAAAATAAAAATACTGATGATATATTTTTTGAATGTACCCTTTTGAAAGATTTATCCGAAATACATAATTTAATTTATAATGTATTAACAAATTATTGTCATAAATTGAACTATACAATGATATATACGTTCCAAATGAAGGAAAATTTATAAGCTATATTATGACTGTACATCTTAGTTGATTACCATTTTCACTTAAATGTTTTATCCATTGTATTTATAATATCAGCATATGTCTCACGAAGATTTGATATTGAAATTGAGAATGATGGGAAAGACGCTGAAAGAAAAAAATGCATAGACGAAAGTTCAAACTACCCAAATACACCATAAGTTTTTTTGTTAATAAAAACATATACTGTACCGTTTCTGATTTTCAACAACCTAGATTTCAAAGAGCATAACACGTCCTAGTGAACATTCGTAGATTCAGCATCAATATCTATATCAAACTCTAGAGTTGTATGCAAACAACTATTTTCAATTGATTTGCTGATACTGTATTTTCGGATTTACCTTCGTTTGGAACATACAGACTGACACTCGTGGGGCCTAAACAAACATTTGATATAATTTTATATATACGTGTATATAATCTCAATATGATTTATATTTAGAAATAAAAAGTACCTGTGCAAGTTGGAATAAATATTGATTTTGAAGTAAACATTCGACTGGTGTAAACTGCGTTTGGGTGGATTTGTTGTTTTGTATTTGTAGAAATGTTTTTTTGTGATTTCATTTCTTCATCAAGTTTCTCGATATCTTCATATGTGTACTGAAAAGGCAAAGTACTTAGTTTTACTCGATCCGAACTGAATATGACTTGAATAAATTCGACAAATTCTTCAAGTTCCCATGCAACTGGTCTGCTTTCTGGAATAGAATCCCAACATTTTTCAATAATAGATTTACACCATCCAAAAACATTATCTGGTATCTTAGGACGTACTCCTCTATAAATGTCGTAGACAAGGTGTATATCATGACTTCGTTCACCAAATGGTCGTTCGCCTGTTACAATCTCGTACATAACCATCCCAAAACTATAGATATCTGAAGCTTGTGTGTATGGCTTTCCATTTAGCACCTCTGGACTAATATAAGGAAGTACTCCGTAGATTTCGCGATTAGAATTTTTTATATCTGTCGGGCTGGCGAGTCCAAAATCGACTATTAAAGGCATACTCGATATTAAGATGTTGCCAGGATGTAAGTCACGATGCACGAATCCCTCTTTGTGAACTCTGCTCAATCCATGTAAAATATTAACTAAATGTTCCAACTTTTCACACCAAGTTATCTTTTCGTAATTAGAATTCAGGTATCTGCGGAGATCACCATGTTTCGCATATGTCATTACTATTGAGTATCCATCTGCAGCTGGGTTTTTGGTTATTCCATAATACCTGTAGATATCTCCAGCGCACTTTAAAGCAGTCTGAATCTATTTTTGAAAAATTTGTTTGTATTAAGAAATAATAAAGCTTACACTTTAGATAATGTTCATTTTACCTCATTTATAAACTCTGTAATTTGCTTTGAATCATGTAATGATTTCAAGGCAACAACTTTGTGTTCAACTTGTCGTGTAAATTTATTTTCTCTATGATCCCACTCGTAGTTGTACCACCATGTTGCTTTGTAAATTGATCCAAAGCCTCCTTTTGCAAGATATTCAACATTGGTGAATCTTTTAAAAGGGATCCATTTGAAAGGTCTAAGTTTAGCGCATTCTTCTATTAGACGGTCAATATTTTTATTTCCGCTAGACCATTCAGAAATTCGTTTGTGATAATCTGAACATTTACCACGGGAGCAATCATGAGTATTTGAAACTTTGGATTCCATCTTTAAGTTTATTTTATAAAATGTTTTGGTCTGATTTATACGCGTACACAGTGTTGTACACGAACATTCTTATTGTTTGTCTTGTTGACAGATTTGTGGTCGGACACACATATGTATATGTCAAATGACTGATTTTTAATAAGACCACACGAATTACAATCAGTTTAAAATTGACCTGCGCAGTCTGCACACAATAAGTCTCATGATATTGAAAATTTCTAACCCCCTGTTATACAAATAGACAAATATCTTTAATTGTTTGTCTAAAAATATCTATTTGACAGCCCCCTGATGTATGGTCTACATATAGTCCGGGACATTCCGCGAAAGTTGCAAACTTTAATAAATTATGCCTTCTCTTTAAACGCAGAATGGATAGTCGCGGAAAGTCATCAAGGTAGACCGCCAACAGAAATTACTATCATAATTTTTATAATAATTATATTGAAGATGCACATGTATTTTTGACATAAACATAAAAAATGCTGGACGCGGACGGTCCCGGCATGTCGGTAACACACTGTGCTGTATACAGATTGTCAAATACAGCTGTCTGGTTCCGATATGTCCGTGTAAATTTGAGTAACATTGCCATATCGATATTAGAATGGAATTTTTATCTACTGCTGTCAATATTGATCCAAACAATATTCATCTTAAACCTTTAGAAATAAGTTGACAGCATATTATTTTAATCATTTTTGTGAAATTGAGTGATTTAAGTCAAACTTGTTCAATTACATGTATTAAATTTCGACCTCCATAACTTTTTTCTAAGAAAAACCTAATTTGGACCACTAACGAAATCTCCCAATTTTTAGACTCAAAATATAGATATTTAAAATCCCGAAGGTCCGAATGTCTATTTGTAAATAAATAGTCGAATTATTGTTCTTAATTGAAATTTGAGGCTTAAATCACTCAATTTCACAAAATGGTTAGAATATCTTGTCAAATTATTATAGAGAATCTGTACCGAATGTTCTGTTTCTTCCAAGAGTTACTGTAAATAGCTTTAACTTTCATACAATAAATCGATTTAGATCAGTTGAATGAGATATCGATATATAGCAATAATGGTAAATGACCAGGTCATTTACTCATTTTGTAAATGACCTATGTCATTAGTCATTAGGTCATTTTTATGTGATTTATTTTCAACCAATAGAGTTTCAGTGAGTCATTTTCTTCATTTTTATAATAACGTCATAAAGTTTAATTTCAATTTTATTGGATAAAGAAGATTTTGACTTTTTTAAATGACCAGTTAGGTCATTCGACCTTTTAAAATGATCAGTCATTGGTAATTTGTCATCGGAGTCATTTGGGTCATTTAGAGTCATTTACCATCACTGATATACAGTGCAGTGTTGTCAATTGGAAGCAAAATTAATATCAAATTGAACTTTTCAATGGACTTCCAGATGTCATAAAAGCCCACTGGAAACAAAAATTGACAACTCTGGATATACATACCGATCCGGTTTGATCGATAAATAATGAGAATGTTTTGTTTTAAACAAGATACATAAAAAACTGTTAAATTAAGAAGTGCATTCTTTAGATTTAATAAATTGATATTATTAATAAAATATTTTTATAATTTATTATAATTTGATAAAAAGTATAAATTGCAGATATATTCTTTACAATATAAAATAAATAAATACTTACAATTATATTTTATTTAATATACAATAAAAAAATATAATTCAAATTTATTTTTTACTAAGTATTTTATAAAAAATATGCATATCTATATGACAAATTACCAGAAATATGAAATAGAGAATTGTGATAAATAAAAAAACATGCTTAAAATACAATATATATTTACTAAATGATTGATGAACAGTTTCTTTCTTAATTAACATTGAGACAATGACTTGTGTCTTTAATTATATTTACTTATATTGTTATTTTGACCAATTAAATTAACCAAAAGATTACTTTCAACTTTGACAATATTTTGATTATTTAATATCTTAAAGAATGTAAATAATGCTAAATCTTAGATAATATATAATTAAGTATTTATAATTAATTAGAATATCTTATTTAAAAGAGTGAATATTTTTATTAAAGTAATATTATTAGTATTCTATATTATTTTTATTTTAATATAAAAATAAAAAATAATTATTAATAAAATTGAAAACTTTTATATAAAAAGAAAAATTTATATTTTATAATATTGAATTAATGAATTTTGATATTGTTATATTATTTTTAATTATTATTATATATAAATTTTTATATCTAATTATAAATACAAATATTAATTTTATTTTATTTATAATATATTATATATTTAAATTTAATTTGAAAAGTTTTTTTTAAATATAAAATAATTACAAAATATTTTGTATTAATAAATTTATTTAATTTTATTTATTATATACTTAAATTTAATTTAAAGACTTTTTAATTATAAAGTAATTACAAAATATATATTAATATATTTATTTATAATCTTTTAAATTAAATTTACTTTTATATAATATTATAATATTATAATATTATAATAAATATACTTATAACAAAATATTTTTATTATATAATTAAATCTTTTTATAATTATTTTTATTTATAATCACTCTCTTTATAATTATCTTCTTTTATTTTTTTATTTATATATAAATATAATAAAAAAATTCTTTTTACTTCCTGAGAGTAATAATTATAGAAAAATTTGACTGTAACTATTTCTTGAAAA